TCTTCCTGACTCCATGGTCATGCTCACTGTCCCTCTAAGAGGAAGTACAGGTCTCTGAGTCTGGTTTCTGGAGCTAGACTTCCCTTCCCTCCCAGCCCTCTCCCCAGCAGAGACCGAAGCACCTTCCTAAGCAGTGTATCCCTTGGTTTCTGGCAGTGTAGGATGGGAATGAGAGGTGTCCCCGCCATTCTCCTGGAGTGTGGTTAGGAGGAAGGTGCTTGTGCACACACTGTAGGACCTGGATAGCTGGCGTTCAGGTCATGGCGGCTGGCTAACTGCTGTCTGCACTGTGTTTTGGGTCTGGCCTTGGTGCTGCTGCTGCTTTGACCTAAGGTGTCCACCCCGCAACTGCCTGGGGACCCGGGGTCAGATCCCAGCTCCCTGTGCGCCAGACTGCCTGGTGGCTAGGATGTGACCTGTCCCCGTTCACCCTCCAAGCCAGGCCTGGGTCGTATTGATACAGTAGCAGCTGTTGTTTCTTTTCATTAGAGAGACAGGGTAGTGGTTTGTTGTGATTCCAGTTTTATCTCTTCTCGTTTTCCATGTAATAAATCATAACATTTATAAGTAGGGTAACATGGGTTTTACTAGAAAGGTGCTTATTTTTTTTTCTTGCATGAGTGGGATGAGGCAAAGAACTGCTACAGACTCAGAGTCATCACTTGTTAGTACAAATGCACAATTGCATGCACTCATGCACACACACAGTTTTGTTGGGCCCATTTGAGAATAGCTCGCAGATGTGTCCTTTTATCCCTAAATATTTAGTGTATGTTTCATAAGTGCAAGGATATTCCTTTAGGTAACCATTATGTAATTGCCAAACGCAGGAAGTACAGCTACAATTATATTATCAAACCCACAGGCCACACACAGTTTTTCCAGCCATGTCCCATTTGACTATTTTATCCTGATTTTATATCATCAGTCATTCAGTGACTGTGTTTCTTTAGATAGCCTTTAACTTACAGCAGTTCTTGAGCCATTCTTTTCTCCCTTTTATGGATATGTGTTTATGATACATAATGAATACATTCACTGGGGGAGTAGGTACATATATAGACCACATCTCAGTCCTTTCTACTTTCTCTTCCCCTCCCGCCTCCCTTCTCGTCCCATCCCTAGGTCTCCTTCCCATATACAGAAGGTCTGCCTCCTTATTTCCTATTGTCTTTCATTTTGTTCTTTAAATTATTTATACTTTAAGTTGAGAGCAGCCATATGATGTTTAACCTTCTGTGTCACATGTATCTTGTTTGGCATTGTGGTGTCACGTGGCATCTGTGTTCCTACAAATGACTCAGATTTCTCCTTCCTATGGCTCTCAGCTGTTCTTGAGCTTGATGTTGTGGAACGGCCCACACAGTTTGATTTATGGATTGCTCCTGAGTCTGGGCTGAGACCTATCCCTCAGAAAGCTGTGCCACACCCTTGTCGACTACCTTCCTGTGCTCCTCAGGGGTCCCCTGGCTGACGGTCACACCCTCAGCTTGTAGATGAAACCTAGGTGTACAAGGCTGGTCCATGGTCACATACGTAGCGCTGTTTTGCAATCAGATCTTCTGCCAGAGAGGAACAGATGAGCATAGACGTGGAGGACACTGAAGTGCTTCTGGCCCCTGCTCTGTCCAGATGTTGGGCTCAGCCTTTACCTTTGCCTCCACTTCGCTGTGGCCTAGACCCATGAGGCAGCTGCTGTCCTGTCCCTGATTTACAGATGACCTCCTGAACAGTCCAGTTGCGTGCCCCCAAGGACACAGCTGCTCCCCCAGCCTGTGTCCTGAGCCTGTGCCTGTGGCTTTCATGTCCAGGGCTGCTGTGTCAGGTAAACTTCAGCAAGCAGGGGAGCAAGGCTGGCCTGACCCCTCGAGAAAGGTGCAGTAGCATCTGTGTTTGTGTCCTTTCTAGGCTATTTCCAAGGCCAGGCCTGTGCTTAGGGGCTTCCTGGGGAAAGAGATCCTATTCCCCGCAGTCTACAGCTGCCACGGGTGCCATGGTTGCGCGCCATGTCTGTCTGCAGAGGATAGTGGTGTCAGAAATCCATGTGCTGTTGCTTCTTTCATGGCTGCTCACTGTCCCCTGCCTGTGGGGTGCTGGTCCTTGCTGCCATCTGCCCATCCAGTGGCCCTGGGTCCTTGGTGGTGTCTGAATGGCAGTGGAGGCTGGCTGCCCTGATGCCCTGATCTCGAGGCTGTGTTGCTGCGCTGCTTTGGTGTTGTGTGTTGTACCTGGTCTCCCCACCTTCCTAGCACACACCCACCTCACCCTGGGGCCCTGCTCAGGCTGCTCGGCCAGGGTGCCATTCACTTCTGCTTGGAGAAAGGTAGATAATAAGGCTCTGACTTCTGGCGTATGGAGAGAAATAGGGTACCTGGGACCTGGGACCCAGGACATACTTGGAACTGTCCTGGTAGTACTCAGAGCCTTGCCTACCTCCTGGATGTCTTGGGGCCTGGCCCTGCCCATCATGGGCATGCAGGTTCTTCAGGCACCGGGGCAGCACTGGATTCCAGAAGGGCTCCTTTGTATCTTGGTGTCAAGCATCCTCACAGGGCCTGGGGCTTGGCCAGGCCAGGTCAGGTACAGGGTATCTGTTAGCACAGGGCAAGCAAATGCCCCGCTCTGGGGTCGGTGTATCTGAGGGATGTGGCAGGAGGAGCAGTGGGGGCTGCCTCACCCCAAGACCCAGGTGTCCCTCGTACTGTATCCTCCCTTACCGGGATGGATGGGAATCTGAGCAGGTTCTTCACATGGCCGAGTGAGCCTTATCCCCTGTGCTGTGTCAGGCTCCTCATTCCCGGCTCATCTTGAGGCTGTGAGGTTTTGTGTGTTGAAGGGGCAGGGAACTTAGTGCTTTGCACCAGCTCTGATCCCCTGGCCAGCCTAGAACTCTCCTCCAAGCTGTGCTTGTAGCCTCTGGGAGAAACAGACAGCCCCGTCATTTCCAGGGGTCATTGCTCCTCGTTCTGCTTAGAAAGATTAATTAAAAACATCAGTCAGTGTGGCTCCTTGCGGGAGCCAGTGTTCTGTCCTTAGTAATGTTTCCTGCCACTGGCACAAGGTGGGAGGGGCCCATTGGCAGCTCAGCAGCTCAGCCACCCATTTGCAGTTTGGAGTCTGGCAGCCTCTTAGCCATGAGGTGCTGATGACAGTGTTTCCGTGTGTCCAGTGGGAACCTGCAGGACAGTTCTCACCGAGTGTCCGCTCATGAAAGGCCACACTGGGGTGGACTCGGTGCTCGTCAGCACTCTGCAGCTCGCAGAGCCCCTTCTTTCATGCGCAGGGTTGGTTCATCTGGCCAGCACACCCGAGAGGCAGGGCATGCAGCATCTGCCCATCTCACTGACGAGGAAGCTGACAAGTGAGGAGGTCGGGCGCCGTGCTGCAGGCTTATAGTCCTGACACCTCGGGAAGCTGAGGCAGGAAGACCAGGGTTATAAATTTGAGCCCAGCTGGGCAAATTAGCAAGACTGTCTCCAAGGGGGGTTGGGCAGCTCAGTGCAAAGGTGCAAAGGCCCTGGTTCAGTCCCTGGTACAGTCCCTGGTACAGTACATTCCGTCCTCGAATCCTTCTGTTTGCAAACAGTTTGCTTCACAAACTAAAGCACTCAGCAGACTCTTGCTTTTGTTCCCAAATTCTGCATTGGGTGACAAACATGACCGTGGCTGTCTTCCCCACACAAGGGCAGCCATCTTCCCCAGATTGTAAAACAAATTAAGTTCATAACTGAGGGTTGGCTGCACTGGGAAAAAAAAAAAAAAAAAAAACCGTAGCAGGGCTGGCTGAGGACCTTGGCTCTGCAGCCCTCCCTTTCCCTGATCCTCTTGTATGGAGCCTCACAGAATGAGCTACCCTGGAGAGGAGAGCGGGGGCTGTTTCTGTTTTCAGTTTTTCTTTTACTATCAGGAGACTCAGAAGTTAAGTCTCCAGCTTTTGCTGAGACAGCCCCAACAGTAGCCTACAGAAATTCTCAGAGCTTTTAGCACTGTCCTCTGCAAAGATTCTCGAGAACACCACAGCTTCATTAAGTTGTGTGTGTGTGTGTGTGTGGTACTGGGGATCAAACTTGGGACCTAGCATTTGCAGGGCAGGCAGCAGAACCACTGAGCTAAATCCCTGGCCAACCACACTTTTAAATGAGAAGATGAGGCAAACAGTTTCAGGCTTGCAGAGGTTCCTAAAGAGATCTCTGGAGACTGGAAGAGGGAGGAACCTGGCAGTCTGACTCGGGCCTGCTGTCCCCCTCTGCTGGGGAGCTGCCACCGCCCTTGGGGAACCCACGCGGCTGTATCTTGCCAGTGAGCAGAAGTCCTCTCCTGGCTGAGTGCACGAGGAATGTGGGTCACTGCTCACTGTGGTGAGACCAGGAAGCAGGCAGGGACTCCCCTGGCTCGAGGGAGGGCTGTGACACCCAGGGGCCCAGAAAACACAAGTGTGGCAGTGTTGCTTCCTGTGGGCGAGGGGTCTCCACTGCAGGGAGTTGTGCCTGCCAGGTCAGCCTCACGTCAGTGTTACCTGGCCCCACATGGCTGTCCAGCAGCGTAACAGGAAACATGTCTTCCTCAGAGCTTCTCACCTCACTCACCACTGAGGGCTCCGTGACTGACAGCGCCGCCACCGTCTTCAGAGCACCGGGTCTGAGGTGGCCTTCTGCCCCTCCTCATGGGGTGCTTGGAAGCTCTGTTGGGGCTGATGGCAGAGCCCTCCTGCTCCGGCCCAGCTGCTGGAGAGATGCCTGAATCAGGGGGATCTCAAGGTCCATCTTGGGGGACATACACGGGGCTGGCCAGAATGATGGTTCAGCTCCTGTCTTTTGATTTTATTAGTGCTTGTTTGTGGTCCATGCATTTTATAGTCACCTTGTCTTTTTCTGGTACCACTCATTTGGCACCCAGTCAATATGCAGCTCTTAATTTTTCAAATGAATCAAATATTTCATTACCACATCCATTCAAGGTAAGCATTTGATTCTCATAATCCTTTTGTTGTATGTTTCTAGAATGCTGTTGCAGCTGGGATTTAAGTGCTTTTAACCAGTCAGCATTCTGAAGAACTTGAGGACCTCTTACGCTGTGCTAAAGCTGGAATATTTGGGAATTTGGAGAATGAAGGTAAGGGACATTCTCCTCCTGAGCCTGTGGCAGGAAATATAGCTTTTGGAATTGATGGTCTCTGCAGTGCAACTTGCAGTGTAGGCCCTGAGTTCTTGGCACAGCTTTCGGTGCTCCCAGGCATGGGGAAGCTGGCTTCTCATGATTCTCCCTGACATCATTGTCGGCATTTGAGCCACCTGGCTCTGGTGCCTACCACCCCCTGCTTGTTCTGGCCGAATGAGGAGCCAACCAGCTTTCGGGGGACATTTCCTGCCCTGTGCAGCTGTCTTGCTGTGACCTGTGCACACTACCCTGGGGGAAGAGGAGAAGGCAGGTGGGGTTGCACCGCCAGGCAGGAACACCTGTTGGAGCATCTGGAGTGTGAGCTCCCTCCCTCCACCTTCATCACTTGCTCCAGCTGTACAAAGTCTGCATCTGCCTGGGGTGAAGGAAAGGGGTGATACCCCACGGATTCCAGAGACCAAAGCTTTCCTGTTTTCCTGCTTTTCTTAGCCCAGACAAGTGGCACAACTTGGTTCAGCCTCTGTCCATCAGTGCCTGTCTCATGAGATGGCTGAGGGCGTTGAGTGAGAGCACCTGGACACCACACTTAGCTGGCTTCCTGGCCCAGAGAGGAAATGCTTCCAAATGGGAAAGGGAGTTTTTGTTTATTACTTTCTGACTGATTAATTACGCCCTTTAGAGTTCTTTTTCTGTGCCAGCTCATTTCTGAGTCTTTGGTCTGCTGTTCAGTTTCTGAGAACCGTCTTGTCAGCCTGGGTGACAACTTGCGAATCGCCTTCCCAGCCGCTCTGGTGCTTGTCCCAAGCACAGCTGGGTACTCCATGCAGTGACCCCACAGAGCAGGCAGTGTAAGGCCTGGCTGCTGCGCTGGGTTGAAGCTTCTCTTGCATCAGCCCCCACCTGTCCCCGGTCACTGGAGAGCTGGTTTGGAGCAAGGACAGTCTTTTACAAGTCCAGCACGGGCACTGCCCTGGTCCAGGATGGGCCTTGCAGTAGGGATGCTGGATGAACATGAGGAGGGAGGGAGAGAGAACCAGGAGGAGGGCTTTTAGGGTTCAGAGGAATGAATGAAATATTTTCTTTTTCTAAATAAGATATTGGAAAGAATAAATAACATGTTGAAATTGATGAAAGTTGAAATTAATGTGATTTCTACCACAAGTTGGAAAACTGTGCAGAGATAGAAAGGGCTGAGAGAGTGGTGACAGAGCGGTGTTGGGAGGTCAGCCCGGGTGGCCAGAGCAGAGGGCTGTGCATTGCGGGGTGCTTATGCCTCTGTGTTGCTGATCTGCTGGGTGTTCCCATAGTAGGGCATGGGTGTGTGTAGTTCCTGTCCTGCCATCCAGGGGCAAGCCGGGACCTCACACGGGGCCCTGCACATGCTGCAGCCACACTCATCCCTCTATGCACAGTGTTTGCATGCAGCCCATGTACTTCTGTGTACTTATGTACCTCTAGTCACTTGACAGCTGTGTGAGTGGTTGTTACATTGTATCACTTGGAGAATAACACATTTCTCACAACATCCCAGAAATCCACCAGTGCAGAACCTGTGGATAGAGAGGCAAATTACCCACGGGCACCAGGAGGGCCCAGGGGGGCTGTGGGGAGGGTGCTGGCTCTCGGGCTCCTCCAAAAAGCTTTGAGTCAGGTGTCCTTGGTGCTGAGCAGCTGGCTAGCAGGAAGCTTTCTGTCCCCTGCTGCGCTTGCGCTCCCCCTGCCTATCATTCCTTGACCTTACTGGGGCCGAGGTCAGCCCTCCTCTCAGTGCGCAGCACACAGACCCCATGAGAGCTCTGCATGTGTGGGTATCCAGCTGTGGGGCGCAGTGCTGTAAATACACATCAGCCTTTTCTGCCTCCAGTGGTCCTTGCCACAGCTGGAGGCGGGCGAGAGCTGTTCCAGGCTGGAAGAAAGGGCAGAGGTGGTCTGGTCATGCGCGGTGAGCCTGAAAGCTGAGGGATTGTCCCCTGGTGCTGTGGCCATGGGAGCAGGCAGCATGGGCTGTTGTCTGTGACCAGTGGAGAGGCTTGGCACATTCGCCAGGGTGAAAGGAGAGGACTCCTAGGAGACAGCACAGAGGTGATCACGTCCTGAGCATGTCCTGGGGCAGGTCTGCGCTGTGGCAGCTGGAGAAAGGCTGGGTCAGCGCTGTGTATGTATTGCTGCCCCTGCTGAGGATGATTCCGTGACACGGGGGGTCACTGTCCTCACCGCCGCATGGGGATAGGCAGCCCCGCATCTGTGCTCCTGGACACGGGGAGCTGGAGCCAGGCACATGTGATCTGCCCAGCTCTGCTTCCTGCTCGTGTGACCCTGACAAGCGTAGCTCTCTCCTCCTCCCAGCTGCAGGTGGACAGACACATGCTTGGGGCGGCTGTGAGAATTTTGGAAGTGGTTGGTGAGTGGACGCCCTGTGTCCTTGTCCAGCCTTGGCTGTCTAGGTGGTGTTCTCTCTCAGCTCCGCCCCTCCCTGATCATATAGCACAGGGCTGCACTCTGGCTGTGCTGGGGTTTGAGTGAGTTCCTCCAGGTTCAGGTGTTGGAGCCTAGTCTCAGGTATTCTTCTGCAGCAACAGAAAACAGGTGAAGACAGCTGGTGTCATCATTTTTTTACTTTTTTAGAGATAGGTGTCACTAAATAGCCCAGGTTTGCTTCCAACTCTTGGTGGTCCTCCTGCTTCAGCCTCTTGGATACTGGACTGCAAGTACACACCCCCATACCTGGTGTAGCATCTTCCAGTTTTGACCCCCTGCCCCTTGCTCCTTTGGCCTCAGCTGCCTGAGTTGTTTCTCTTGCCCCTGGTGTGCTGCTCCTATGCGGGGCACGCCTGGCCCTGGTGAGAGGGCATCTGCCGGCTCCTTCCTCCCACCTGTGGCTGCGCACAGGCCCTGGTCTCCAGCTGCAGGCCATGCATCTCTCCAGGGTTCGTGGAGGCAGGAGCTCTCCGGGCCCGCTTGGATTCTATGCTGAAACAGAAACATCTTCTGATGTGACTGCTGTTGGCCCGTTTCTCTCATTGTTTCTTGTGGTTTCATGTTGAGGTTTTTGGTGCATTGCATTTGACCTGGAGTTTATTTTTAGCAGTAGAGACAGAGTTCAATTAATGTCAGGCTGACACAGAGGAGGGATTCGTGAGTCTTGGGGAAAATGTGCCGGATTATTTTCCTGCTGATAATGTCTGTCCCCGCGTGCATGGCCACGCTGTGGTTGCTGCACTGCCTCAGGGATGCCTGGCACAGGCTTTACAGTGGCCAGGCCACCCCTGAGCACAGAACGGGGTCTGTCATGGCTGGGGTATCCAGTGGCAGAGTCCTCCAGGCTCGTTCTCCATGTCAGCTCTTACTCAGAGCAGTGGGCACTCAGCTTCAGCTCCCGTCAGCTCTTGTCCCAGTGCCCATGCATTCAGGAGATATGTAGTCTTCTCTCTGCAGCTGTCGTTGGCCCCAGGACAGGTGCAGAGGACTTACGTGGGGACCGTTTTCTTGGTTTGACTGAATTTCAGGACTCTGACTGCAGCCTCGATGTCTCAGGCGTCCCCCTCCTTCAGGGAGGCTGGTCTGCCTGGATGGAGAAAGTGAGCACTCCTCATCCTCCTGCCTCCATTTCATCACTGGAGTGTTTATTCCTCATTGCGCCTGAATCTGCTAAGGCGCTAAGCGTCCTTGGAGTGGAGGAGGAAGAGCCTCACTTGCACTGATGAAGCTGCTGGCCGCCCAGAGGAGTCTGGTGGGCCTAGACCCTGCCTGCTGCTGGTAGCTTTCTCTGGGCGTGTGGATCCTTCCTTCAGAGCTTCGTCCTCACCCTGGTTGCTCCGGCCTGATTTTGGGCTTGTCTACTTCACTCTTCTCCTTGTCTCTCCCTCTCTGCCTTTCTCATCTCCTCAATTTTTCTGCCTCCTCTAGTTCTGTCTCTGAGCACAGAGTTGCTTCTCTCTACCATCCTTTCACGGGAAGAAGTCTCATGGGGGCTGTACTCGAGGTCCTGTCTGGGGTGGGGTCTTGGGTCTCCCCGAATCCACCTCCCTGCACCTCGTATGGTGACTGGACTGGCAGGGTGTGCCAGTTCCCTCCCTGCCTACGCCCCTTTCCTGCTAGAAGCCCACAGAATGAATAAATCGTCTTGGGAGTTAACAGCTTTAATATGGGCTGGAACATTAAATCAGCAGAGCAGCAGAGCCAGTGCAAAGTGAAGATCGGTGGCACCTCCCTCTGTACCCTTGCCTGGGTACCTGTGCCTCTGTAGCCACATCTCCGCCTGAATGTCTGTGTGTGTGGAGAGAAGCTTATTAGAAGCATTGGCTCAGTTATGGAGGAGGCTGAAGTCCAGCACACTCTTTGGCTGTGGATTTTGTTCTGTCATTATGCCATGCTCTGAGCTTATCTTTTGCATTTCCGTGGAACCAGCCATTTCTCCCCAGAGCCCTGCTATGTATTGTTGGAGAATAGTGGTGGAAACCACAGGCTGCTGCTGCTCAGGCCTGCATTCATGCAGACACGCTCAGCTGGCAGAGCCAAATGTGTGTGTGTGTGTGTGTGCACGCGTGCACTAGTGCACACCTTTCTACGCTGTCCATCTGTGTGTACAGCTGGGTTCACACTGAGGTCCACAGATCTAATTCATCACCATACCCCACACACTTCCCAAATGACATCTGTTTGCAGTGTCAACGGGAGACCCTGAATGGAGAGGTCAGAGGGCTCCCTGCCGAGGACACTGGACTTTTCTCTGTGGACATCCCGGCCTTGTGGAGTGGAAGTTGCATCTGAACAGAAGGAAACACATGCTGCCTGAGCCTGGGCACTCATCCCTCCCTGGGTCCTGCCCTTCTCAGCCCCTGTCCTCCTTTGGACTTCCTGTTCCCTTCCTGCTTCTGCACAGCCCCCGTCCACGCACCCGGCTTCTCCTCAATCCCCTGGCCTTACCCACCAGACACTGGCATCTTCCTGAGCCGGGGATGGAGTTCTGCACCCTGCTGGGCCCTGGCCTGGTC